TCCTCAAAAACAACGCTAGTGATGACGATGGTCATGCCTCAATAAGAAGCACTTGCGACATTAACGGAGAACCTGGAGCATCTAAAAAGCCTCTTCTAGCTTTGATGGACGTGCAATGGGACACTTACAGCCGCATTTTGTATGGTGATCGAGCCTCTCCAGGCAGTCATTTTGTCCGCACGTCTCAGCTAATATTCATATCTCGTTTGTCTTGATATTTATTTATTCGATCCAGGATGAGAGTCATTTCGCTAAGCACGTGTTCATTTAGTTAAGTATGTAGAGTGCTTCGTTTCGTTGAGTGATGAATTAGATATTTTGTTGCTTTAGGTGAGTTATGCTGTTTTCATAGAAAGTGGCACAAGTTCAGAAATTTGTTTCGAATATTCATTAGGTTATATAGAAGAAAGACTAGTTTACGGTAATACATTCCTAGTAGAAACAAAATGTACGCAAAAAGTAACATTCGTGTCCTAAAACTCGCAATCGCGCATGACGCTCCCAATTACAAAAAAATATAACTCAGTACTCACTGCAGTGAGTGACAGAGAGCGTATTTTCTCGTCGACGAAAACTTGAGGTCACGGACGGACGGACAGACAGACAGACAGACAGACATGGCGAGCACAATAGTGCATTTTTTCCATGAATGAGAAAATGCGCTGAAAAGGATTACTTGAACTCTTGACGGACCTTTTCTCATCGAGTCAGGGAAGTTCGCTCCTTGAGCCCCCAGGTGACGACTCGTGCAAACAAGATCCTGTACGAAGTTAGCAAAGCTGCAGAACAGAACTAAAGCTTGTAGGCTTTTGAGACGCTGTTCAGTTGCAACCAAAAGTGCAGTACATGTTTTCGTCAAGGATAGAAAGACGTAGAATGCTTGAATTTTCTCGCTGAGTTTTTGGAATTCTTTCAATAATAAAGCTTATGTCACAGCACCCACTAAACATGGTATTTAATAAGTAACTCTTTTTGAATTTTCATCAACTCTCGTATAAGTTAGAGCTCTTATTTATTTACCCATATCATATTACCCTTAGAATTTCGCGCTAAATTAAATATTTAAAATTTCATGGCATATATACTCGAAAAATATGCTCTTATTTTCCGCAAGATAAAAAGTAACTTATGCACAAATGATGACCTGGCTCAATACCAAAATTTGTTACTCAATGTTTCAGAAGATATTATCCGAGCTCTGGTTGATATATGCATTCTGAACATAAATGCAATGGGCTCATATGATTGGCTTTCACCAGAGATGATAGACCATGTAGCGGTGAATGGTGAGCGTGGTTGGTAGGAATGAGAGACTCATGAAAGGAGACATAAGGAAGCTTGAGATGAGCGACGGCGGTGGGTAAAATAATCAAGTTATGTGACGAGGAAAATACCTTTTAATTTGAACAGGCCGTTAAACAGGCAACAGGCAGTTGAACAACAACAACAGCAACTGCCTTTAAATTGAGCCGGCAACATGCAGTTGTGGCGAAATGTGTGAGAAATAAAACGATGAAACTATTAAGAAATAAATAAAAATAATTTACCTAACAACTGGATTTGATCGTTGGTTTAGTGTTTCTGATCACGCAATTGCTTAAACCGTAAAACTTGGATGGCGAGTGTGAATATGTGTAAACCGCTTTCAAGTGAAATAAATACGATTTATGCACCAATACAATTCAGGCATATCATGCATGAGTTCGGAGATACCCATTGGTAATAATTTTTTTAAATGTAACGGTAAAATGGTGTGACATATATATAAATGTGAGGAAACCAAAGAAAGTGAGGCATATACAAAATTTTGGGCACCGTTTGGTTTCCGTGGTTTTTCTCATCCGCAAAAAATGTCCAGTTACACGTCAAAATATGAAAGGCGACAAAATCCTTGCAAAAGATTCTTGTCGAGCACAAAGACAAATATGACGGCATTTCTGTTATTCTAGCAGATCTACATATAAACAAATTTGCATGCAATAACGTCTGAAGCAAGTAGTAGTTGAGAATAAGAAAAAATGATGATTTATGCCATGCGATATATTGAAAAAGTTTATCGAAAAGAGTTATACTCAAAAGAATTACATTTGAAGTAGTTAACTGCAGTCAAAAAGATCTTATCAGCTGAAAGCAAATGAATAATAACATTTGTCTTTAATGTTCTTTAATTCAGTTTCCACCAACTTTTATTTTTGCTAAATCCGCCCGATTTCAAGTATTTTTTTCTCTGTCTGACGTACTATGGGAAGCCTGATATACTGAAATTAATGAAAGGTAACTATAACCTGGATAATATGGTTCATGGTTTCATTTACTAGTGATGCCTTAAATCTCTTTAACTTCCTTGCCTGGGGCCGGAATTCCGCAAAAAAGATCTGGCAGCGTGCCGACCCGCCATTTGTTCGCCTTCATATCGTCATGATCTTTCCGGACGACGACAAAGCCTACGTGAAGGTCAAAGCTGATGCTAAAATATATTTTAAAAATTTTTCTTACATATATTGAGGAATTGTTAGCATTCAGTCGTGTTTTTGGCTTTGTGAGGCTCGATATAACTCCCAGTCATACAGCTCCCAGAATGTCTATAATGTGGCCTTTATAATGAAAGTATCTGTTTATGTTAGTAATAAATTAGGGATCTGTTTTGAATGAAGAATGTGGATAAAATGGGCCGCATATTTGCATAATCGACATAGCTGCTGAAGTGATAATGTTAGAAATTGTAAATTCTCTTATTAATATTTGAAATGGGTTTTCATTGTAGGTACAAATAACTTAATGATTATTTATGAAGTTCGACTTCCTACAATTCCACAGAAATTAAATATTTCCACAATATTCCGTATGATCGTATCTTTTCTTCAAAAGAAAATCTCGTTTTTCAATGGGATCGTGGCTCCTGCCCTTGCTTCTATTTCAAATATGGGAAAGTAAGAAGCTTGTTTCTGTCAAAGTCGCAGGAGTTGCATCGTCCATAGACCCTGGCTGCCTTATAACTTTACCGGGAGCAAATCTATGCAATGTTCAGATCACTACGCGACAATATTTTCTTTCAAGTTTCAACCCTTGGGTCGCATGCATTTAACCTGAAAATAGGAAATTTCTTTATAATTTCGCGGAAATCCTACTTGCAATGGATGCAATGCTCAGAGATATGAAATTCTATGTAAATTTAATGTTTGGCCTCAGTCTGGACGATATCTTTGTCGAAATAGATCAAATGTCTGGACTATGTGAAGACAATATATCATTCGTTGCGGTCACATCGGCACTTCACTCGAAATAGTTTTTGATTTATAAACATATTTCAAATTTCATTCGTTAGTATTTAGGAACGTAAGTTGTTTGATATGTGATATTTAAAGTAAATTTTACACTTGGAATTGATTTATCATAGTGGATTGATTCAGTTTTCTGGCAACTTGTTGGACATCTTGCCTGCTGCTATGCCATCCCATATACCCAAAATATTGGGTTCATAATAAAAAAAACGAGAAAGGGAGTGTTGTAGCCAAAATATCACACATTCTATAAATAAACTAAAAGAATTGTTAAAAGTAAAGTTATTGGCTGTTGCTAAGCAATCTCTCAACTTTATTTCTCGTAGAATATCTCAAAAATACTTGACTCTAAAATAATTTGTAATGATAAAATTAATCAGTACTTAATTCATGTTTTTTTTCCTAATTAAAATGAAAAACTTCTTTGGAATAACATATTATTCGGTATGTAAGGTATCTCATTCTATAAGCTAATTATTGAAACCTATATATATTATTTCCTAGAATTGTATTAAAAATTATCCCACTTTTTACCTAAATTTATTGAATACAATTATTTATTTATCATTGCAAATTCGAATTATAAAATTGAATATTTTGCTCTATTCTATCATCACTTCTTGTTCAGTAACCACCTTTAACATTTGTTACTTTGTTTGTCATTTTTTTGTCAACATTTGTCATTTGTTGCTCGTACGCCAGCCCAGCGTTGCGACCTTCTTGTCAGCGAAAATAAATAATTATAAATAAATAATAATTTTGAACGAAAATAAATAATTTGCGCATAAAAATTGTATTTAACAACAGAACACAAGCACAGAAGAAGACAAACGAGCACAGAAAACGCGAGCACTGAATGATTCTTAAAATCACGTGTAAATATTCGGAATACGATTCCCAACTAAGAAACGTGCCGAATATTTAGTCGAGAGACAGCATCTAACTGAATTAACTTCGAAGATTAGAATTGATTATAACTGAGTTGCGTATAGCCCACACAGGGCAACCGGACGATTTATTCAATAGAAGTACCTCCAAGAACTTCAATTCAATATCAGCTATTTAAAATTTATGGAGTCATGTGGCAGCGACGGGATTTTGTGTCGTGAATTTGTTTTTATACCGAAATAACGTAACATAATTGTTCTTGCTTGAATAGTGATAATTATTATTGTTTCTAAAACATTGTTACGTGAAAATATTTTATTTGTACTTTTTGGTTCTGCGCGACAAGTTTTGTAATTCAGCAAAAGTTATGGTCTCATTTTATCTAAAAATTGGTTTTGCTTCCAAAAATCCCCAGAGTTTCATGTCACTGAATCGTTGAATTAGCTTGGTCTGAATAGTTTTTCACCCACACAACCAACGAGCGCCATGGACTTGCAAACGAAAAAGACTTGCAAACCTTTCTTGTTCAGCTATTTTTCCTGCCCAAAGATAAAAGAAGAAGTTGCAGGTCACTTCTCGCTTGACTTTCTTTTTCATACATACTAAATTATTAGCTCAACTACGAATTTCCTATTCTACGGCGCGAGATAGCTTAGCAGCTGAAGCGCTAGTAATCATAGGGTCACTAAACCAAACGTATTTCCTATTCTAGATGATCATATAGAGTTTTCTAGATACTCATTCATCTGGCTGAAAAACAAATTGGTGAATTTTGTTCTACTGTTTCTCGCGTATATATATTCGCTATTGAAATATATATTTTTCCTTTACCAATTCCGATGGATGACGTTTGCGACTCGAGGCAGGTTTGCGAGGAAGGTGTCCGCCATCTCGCCACCACAAGCCACATCGATTATTGGAGATCTTGACTCAATACGCATCGTTGCACGAGAAAACCTGTAGCCTTGTGTCAAGGTCCTGCAGGAAGTATAATATAATTTCTGCCAAACCCATGAGCTATAAATTACTTGCAGCCGCTGGTAGCTGCCTAATTACGTGTGGAAATGTTCTGCCAATATCATTTTAGCTAATAACTGTATTTTGATACACGGGAAGTGGTATAGCCTGTCACTGTAAACGGAAACGAAGTTCCAACAATAATTTTAAAAATACTTGTTTTCCTGACAATGAATGACGTACGTATTTAATTACATAATTCATCAATATTACTATTTGCTCGAACAGTACATGAAGCTTCATATTTATTCTTAGGCTACGAACTTTCCCATCGCTGAAATAATTCATTATTCGCTGTTGAAAACTCCATAAATACTCTTCAAACATAGTTCACAGTCCCAAATTATGTCTAGTAAAAATGTTTCCTTCTTTTCCACCGTTTCTAAGCCAGTTTCTTCAAAGTATGGACGCCGAAGAGTTATGTCTCAACCATCGCTCCAGCATGGCGATGTATAGCCTAACGAAAACATACCGCTGCCCGCTAGAGCCTCTCCTTCACTCCCAATTTTCCTTATCTTCTATAAAAACCCTGGCACCTGGCACTACATAGCGTTCAGAACCGTATTTCCGAGCCAGGCTGTTGGAAAAATATTTAGATAAATAATAATTATTGAAAATCTTTCAGGTTATGGTACACGTTTAATTACGAGTTTTTAATTTTTCTTATTAAACTGTCAATTTATTTGGGCGCACTAAGTTGCATCAAAATCTCAATCATTGGTAATATTTTTGGAAACCGGTACTTCATAAAGTCAATCATATTTAATTTTCCAGTTTAAAGCGAAGAATAGCGAGAGATAACAGCAGTATTGACCGCATGTAACTTTTTTAATTAAAAATCTAAATATTTTGATGCTCCGTTCTAGAGTGCTGGAAAGCAAATATCTCCTCCATATGCTACCAGTTTTTTCGTCATCAGTTTTTGTGACAGGAGTGGGCTGCTTTAATCAGGAACTCGATGAAGCTCTGAACGTTTTACGGTGGCTTGCTACTCATCATTATCGAATTTACCGTGCGAAAATATATTACATTACGCCACACCAAAATGAGGGGGTGGTCTACTAGAGTTTTTTTTTTGCTGTGATGAATTTATCGCGTGGGAGAAAGACAAGAAGATTATTTAAATTACTTTCTTCGGTAGTGTTCCCGCTGATACTCAATATTGTCAAGGGCATATTTCATAGTAATTAGAATGGAATTAGTTGTGAGAAATGGACACTTTTAAATTAAACGGCATTTCATGTTAACTGGGTAGTAAAAGATAGTGTTTTATGCTCGCATTTGACTGAACTATATAGGTGAAGAAACCGTTTTCAATATATTTTTATTTTTTTACTTATTAACAGTTTTTTAATTGGAATTTTCCACAACCAACGTAATCTAAAACAAAGTGAATATCAAAACATGTGCATCACGACGTTACAGACGGAGCCACCAGGCATTATAGAAGTATTTTAAAACTGTATAGATCAATACTAGTAATCCTAAGTAATATGTAACTTTCAGCAGCATAAAAAATTAATTCAGAAGCCAATGCTTTCTGGAAAATACTATAATTTTCTATTGTGATCGTTTTAGTCGTTTCATTTTGATACTTTTCTCCATGATGACTCGGCAAGACGGCGAGCGTTCTGAATTGCAGTATAATTGTGGTACAATTATCGATAGTGATCCCCACAGCTTCCCTGTTAAGAACACAACTTGCATAATTGCCTCATCTAATCCCTCTTAAGACCCAAGTCTGAAGACCTTCATCCTTCTCCCAATCCCTACGGGTATGCATCCTCATCCCAGTGCATGGTATGTATGAACGTAAGACTGCATGGTATGTATGAACGTAAGACTGCGTTATGGCCACGTTGATATCACCTGCAAGTAATACTTCAAGAATCAGCGACAGCTTCAATTGAATGGTAGCAAACAATTGAATGTAAATTAACAAGACACAGGGCAACTTAGGTTCTTTTTAAGATAGAAAATGCAATACTTTTTCACGTATTCTGTTATTAATATATCATCTGATAGGGTTAAATAATATAGACGAAAATTAAAAAATCACAATTTTGCGGTCAGACCTTCTGAAATGTAAACTTTTCTAAGTGATATGTGCTATATTGGAAACCAAATTAAGAAAATCAATATGCAGTGTCTCGTGTAACTGAAATGTTTCGAGCTGAAAAAAATATCTTAGTAACTTTCTGTTCACATAGAAGCAAATAGGAAATTTTACTTGTTCGGCGCAATTCACTCCACAAAATTAAGTATTCCGAAAATACGCGCTAGGTCCCACACAAAGTGAAATTGCGAGGATTCGCTCCCTAATGGACTTGTTCAATAATTAACCGGCGTCGCTGGTCATCTGATCCGCAGAATCGGGAATTTTGTGTGAATTTTAGCGTCAACGAAGCCTGAGGCTTTCGAATTTTTATTAGCGTGCTTCACGCCCATGAGTTCATGTCGTGTTTTGCTGGGGATTTAAGATACGTGTGTTAAATTTACCGAGTTGTGGTGCTAAACAAAGTTGCGGCAAGTGAAGCTGATTACGTAACATTGAAATAAAGCTCGTGTTTTTTAAACGGAAATTGAATTCCGCTCAATAAATAGAGCCAACCGCGATGTGATATTGCGATGCCTCTGCATGCTTGGGGGATGAAAAATAAAAGTGTAATGTTGTAATGAAATGATTGGTATCTACTGAAATGATTTGAATGATTCATATCATGGAACAAATTATCTTTATTGTTGTATTCAAGCTAGGGAGCACCGTGAGAATTTTAATGTGCATAAATTTTATCAGGCAACGTTTTATTTTCGTTATTTCGTTTTAAAATATTTTCTTTCGTTTGTTTTCGTTCTTTCCTACTTATTCCTTCTTTCGTACTTCAAATATTATCAAGTTCAATATATCCTGGTATTGGCTCTATGTAATATATCCACATAGAAGGCGTGATGGCGAACTACCGAATTTTGCAGCCACAAACAGTTCTCATTAACCTTCTTTCCCACCGTCAAATTTCAAATAAACGTATGCATTCTTTTTTTGTCGGTCTATACATAGCAGTTAAGTAAATGGTCGTGGATGGGGCAATAGGCACAGGAATTACCCTAAACGGGTCAGTTTCGCGTCATTTCTGCATTGTATTTACCCCAGTTTCCTGCGCTGCTCTGCGAGAGCCTGCCACTAATTGCAGCCTGCGCTGCGCTCCTCTTCTAATCTTTGAAGGAAATCAAGTTAGGTGAGACAGAATATTACCGGAGGGGAGACGTAATTGCTTTGGTGCCCTCTTTTTATTTCTTGAGATTAGGGAAACGTAATTAGTTAATCAATTCACGAGTGTTTAAAATAAACAGAAATAAAGGATAAAGCCGGAGGCTATGTTGAGGAGCATGAGAAAGGGAGAAGCACGACGGTCTTGTAGTGGGTGCAGGTTTTATAGCTTTTAATTTATAAATGTGCGATTACAATCGATGAGAAAGAAGACGATGGCTGCGATGATCTGCCGAACAGGACAGCACATCACAATGCTTTCCGACGCATTTCATAAATCAGTCTAATTATATGGATTTAGAAACTTGAACAAAGATTTGGTGGCGCGAACTCTGTGTTTATTTTGCATATTACATCGCACTTGTATGCCGGTGAGACAGCTGCTGCAGCTTACCACCTGAGAGTACAAGAAGATAATCTATCACTCACCATTGCACTACGTCATCTCCTCCCATCACACTCTCATGTCTCGGGTGTTCTCGTATTCGTGTTCTCTAGTAGCTCCTTTTTTGCGCAACCAATTTTTTTCTAAAAACAACAACAAGAATACGAATAAATTACGCGAAGGTGATGCATGTTTGCGATGCATGATTTTTATCCCTTCTCGGAAAGAATCGCGATGAAAATTAGGAATGTTGGGCCTTTATCATTCCGGACATTTTTTGTGAACTTTTTTTTCGTTATTTCAGAAGTACCACTGTTGTGTAACTTTTGTACTGGTCCCGATTTAATTTATCTATATACGGTACTGCATCATAAAACGAAGCAGTGTTGCTTACAAGTAGAAGTATTAATGTATTTATTGAATGAGTAATCTAAATAGGTTAATGTAATATCTAATGCGTGAATGTCCAAAGTAGCATTTCAAGGTTAATGAATGAAAAAGCAAGTTGATTTTTTTGTAGCTATTGAAGAGTGAAAGTCAAATGGCAATGATTAAAGTGAGTGGCATCGATTAATATAATTAAAGCATAAGCAAATATGATAAATTAGTAAAAATTTTAAATAATTTCAATTGAATATTCATGCCAAAAGAATGAAATAGAAGTTGTACTGGTGACTGGGCTCGGCTTAGCGAACGCGCTCACTTTAGCTGCTTTATTAAGACCGAAGTAAAGGCTATAAATTAATGATAATTTATGTCTTAAGGTCACGAAAGCTCCGTGTTTGTATCCTCATCATACATCACATGAATGTGCAGTGATGAATCGGCATTCCGAAGCCCAGAACTCCAATTATGAGTTTGCTACCTGCTCATCAAAACTTTCAGGAAAGTCGTTAATCTACAAATTTGAGCTACAACAGATCTTTATTATCGTTTATTTGAGCTCAAATAGAATTGATTATGAAGCTTCTCTGCAAAATTATTTATAAGAGTATAATTTTCTGCACAAAAAAAGCACAGTCGTGCATTTTTTACAGAAGAGCACAATTCAGGAAAAGAACAATTGTTGAGTTTTAAGAAAAAAAAGCTCGAGAAATTCAGGACCAGCAAGGCATTTTAATATAAATTTAAATTTTTATAAATTTATAAAATTTAAAAATTTAAAATAAAAAATTTATATTTATATTAAATAAATTATAAATTTAAAATAATTTTGAGTTTATTAAATCACATAATGGCTGACAGAAACCTAGTCAACGAATGAATACATT